TTCTTTACAAATTTGTCTCTTTCTGACACAAGGGGTTGATGGTGCTGCAAAACCAGGGGCTTCTTCACGTCCACTTTGGTTGCACATGCACTGGTTCTTCTTGGGGCATTTCCGCCCACGTGGAGTGGAACGAGGGCAAACTGGGCGTTGGGTTAGGACTGGCTTGCGGTAGCTCTGGGTGATAAACTCTGCCATAGAATAGGTGACCCCAATCTTCTTGGACAGCTGCCTTGGGGTCAGGCCTAATTCCCGCCACCTGGTTTTGTCAATGTTCATTCTTCTTCTGTTTACCATCTACCCCATCTTCATGTCACCTCCCTATGGCTTTTGCTCCCTTGGCTTGCTATGATCCACTAGGGCCAGAGGTTCTGTGACATCTGTAGCTGCAGAGTTGATGTCATAAGCATCACCACATTTAAGCTAGCCTCCTGTAGATCACATATTTGTGTCTTTTGGGATGAACCCAAGGTCCTGCTGGGAAAGATAGATTTTTTTTTAACAAGGTAACCCCTGGATTCTTGTTCTAGGAGATCCCATCTCACATTTGTAAGAATGGACACACACATCAGGCATATTTTACCAGTTTAGGAAAGTCTTGCAATGATAACAACCCATTTAATCAAATATATTTATATATTCCCAAGTGTTGGTGATTTCAAAGAGACTTCCTTAAGAGACACTATGACTTGCCATCACCCAGGCGAACATAAAAAGGGGAACTTTGACTCTGTTAGAGGTGGGGCACCACACCTCTGAACTAAATGTGACTCCAACTGCCCCTTATTCTAGCTCTTCAGAACTAAGAGAAGATGTAGGAGAACAGATGGAGTCAAGAGGAATCAGCCTGGAGTCCTTACCTTCCAGGCTGAAAAAAATATATGTCTAAATGTCTTACCTTCCCACAAACACCCTAATTCAATCCCCCCTGAATTCCATGAACTCTTATCTAGTGTGGATTTAGTGTTGACTGTTAGTTGACTAGATTCTTTTGTATAAAGTAAAGGTAAAGGTTCCCCTCCACATATATGCTAGTTGTTCCTGACTCTAGGGGGGGGGGTGCTCATCTCCGTTTCAAAGCTGAAGAGCCAGCGCTGTCCAAAGATGTTCTCCATGGTCATGTGGCCGGCATGACTGAATGCCAAAGGTGCACGGAACACTGTTCCCTTCCCACCAAAGGTGGTTCCTATTTTTCTACTTGCATTTTTATGTGCTTTTGAACTGCTAGGTTGGCAGAAACTGGGACAAGTAATGGGAGCTCACTCAGTTACATGGCGCTATGGATTTGAACTGCCGAATTGCCGATCTTCTGATTGACAAGCTCAGTGTCTTAGCCACTGAGCCACTGTGTTCCTCTTGTGTATAGACATGAGCAAGAAATTAGCTTAATGGGAATCTAATGTGCAGTTCTAATTTTTCACACCTGACAGAAGCCTAGTGTTTCTCCACTCATTGGATGAAGATCTTATGGCAACTGGCTTGCAAGTATTTGCACATTGGTGTGTTTACACTAAGCCAAGTCATAGTGAAAAACTCAAAAGTAATATTACTCAACCTTAGCAACTTTTAAGTTCTGTGGACTTCAACACTCAGAATTCCCTAACCGGCAGGATTCAAAGTTCACACATCTTAAATTGTTAAGGTTGAGAAACATTGTTCAAAACATAATCTACCAATTTTAAAACTTGTTCTCCAACTTTGAGCTTTTGTATAAGCATTTAGGTTCTGCTTTTTGACCACACAATAGTGCTAGCTATATTTTACTACAGTTTTAATACAAGATGCTATGGCTTTCAGATTTCATTACAAATATCACACTGGCCTTTCCCCCTCTCCTCTTCATTTAGAAGTAGATTTTGTTTAATTTCATATTTCTCTCTTTCAACAGAGCAGTTGCTTTTAATTTATTCTGTTGCTTTGTATGCAATGTTGTTCTTTCTTTTTATTGTATTATTTCATAGCTATCTTGTTGGTTGCTCTGGAAACCAATTAATACTAATGGTGCATGATATAAAAGCAGTTCAACAGCAGTTCAATAGGATACAATCCACTTTCCAGAAACTTGCAAAATATTCGGCTGATATCAGTAAGGTTTAATGATAACGGTTTATATTCACAGCATATCAAGAGGCTGGTTCCAACTAGCATACAGTGACTCCATCATTGTGTGTTAAATTAGGGATCATCATGCCCATTACATTACATCATGCCCATTACAGCCAGTAAGAATAGGCAGATAAAGATGCTGGAGACCATTATCTGAATTGAACTGCAAGCTTCATTATCAGCGGAAAACACTTACCTCCTCCCCAGATTGTAAGTTAGGAAAAAACCTTTCCATTACACACAATAGGTAAAGGTAAAGGTTCCCCTCGCACATGTGCACTAGTTGTTCCCGACTTTAGGGAGCAGTGCTCATCTCTGTTTCAAAGCCAAAGAGCCAGCGCTGTCTGAAGACGTCTCTGTGGTCATGTGGC